CAATATCAAAAGGAAACGGATGCTGATTTTTAGATTTAGCTGTGTGAATTTTGCAGACTTTATCTTTTTGTCTTGATCTTGAATGACAAAAACTGTTGTGGGTCAGGAAAAATAATTTCCTGTCCAAACATCATAGTGATATCATTTACGTTCAGCAGAGAACCTGTGCCTATGCCAGAGACTATGGCCTGTGTAGAGAAAGTTTAAGGAGGTCAGAAGAAATGCTGTTAGAGACATTTAGCCATAGAAGTTGCTGTAGCCACACAGTGAAAATAGAAGTGCTCCATGATGTAAAATTCTATTAAGAAGACTCACAATATTGCCACTGAAATGTTTATACTGTGACATTTTCTGAGGTGAGTAACCCTGCTGTGGACAAGGATGCTTCATGAAACTATGTCCTATGCGGGACTCACTGATCAGAGCATCAGAGCATCAGAGCTTTTGTGGTCTAGAGAAAAATGTATACATAGAAAGTAGGACATGAGCCTCCTTTGGACATGAGTGGGATGAAAAAGTGAAGTAGAACTGAATGATTCAATGGTGAATGATCACTGTTTCTTGGTCATTTGACTTGGACGGGAGGCTCAGCTGGATTCTCCCCAACCTGAATGCAGCCAACAGTGAGTTAATGCAAGTCAAGAGCTGCTCAAATGTCTTTGTGAATGTTAGGGGTCTAGCTGGGATGGAGGTAACTTTCTCCATAGCAGCCTGGTGCTGTGTTTGGATTTGTGGCTAAACCAGTGTTGATAACACACCAGTGTTTTGGGTATTGGTGAACAGTGTTTGCACAGTGTCAAGGCTTTCTCTATTTCACACTCTGCTCCCACAATATATGGAAGAGGCTGAGTGGGAAAGAGACTGGGAGGGGACACAGCCAGGACAGCTGACCCAAGTTCTCCAAAGGGATATTCCGTATGATATAATGTCATGCTCAGCAATAAAACTGGGCTAGCAGAAGAAGGGGGAGTGAGGGTTGTCTTCCAAGGTAGTCATTGCTTGGAGACTGGCTGGACATCAATCTGCTTGCGGGAGGTGGTGAGCCTTTGCATCACTTCCCCCCCACCCCTTTCGCTGCTTTCTTTCACTTATTAAACTGTCTGTATCTCAATCCATGAGTTTTCTCTCTTTTGCACTTCCTAATCTCCCACCCATCCCACTGTGCATGGGGAGTGAGTGAGTGGCTATGTGGGTGATTAGCTGCTGGCTGTGATCAACCCACTACAGTGAATATCAAGCAAAAAGAATGGCCAAAACTTCCTGGGAGATGTTTTGTTTGGGTCACTTGTGAATTATGCAATATTGTATTTAAGGTCCTACCAAACTGGATAGACCTGGATTCTTATGGTCTGCAGGACACCTGATTTGTTTTGTTCTGTTACCTGGTTATTCAACTTGACTAATAAAAAATAAAATTCAAACATGGCAAATATTTCTGCAGAGTAAAATTTTTTTTTGCATTGAGATTCCTTGAGGCTAAGCCCAGTGAAGCACAGTCTGCTTCAGAACCTTCCTGGTATTTTCCACAAAATGAACCTTCGTCCTCCTTCTCGTCTCAGCTTTGCGTGGCACACTCCTTTTGGATGCAAAATGGCCTCTGAGCCACACAAATCTGAAGACCATTTTTGCTGGCTGGGGCCTAGACTGTAGAGGAAGGCACATCTCCATGGCTTCTGCGCTCCATTTCCATAGATTTTACTCAAGGGGGGTCTCTTCAAAGGAGTCCCTTGGCACCTGGAATCCAGGGCTATGTAACTCTTTTGCAGGCTGTGCGAGGGTAAAAACCTCCAGCCACCCCTGCCTGGGCACCAAGGTCCTGCTGGGGCCCCTCGGTCCTGCGTCCGTGCATCCCTGGGAGAGGCAATCCAGTTCTTCCCTCCTGTTTGGCTGGATCAAGGTGCATTGAGCTATTTCCCGGCAAGATCTACCTCACATCCTACTGCTTTAGGGAAGAAAAGGCCCGAGGAAGGGATTAGATGTTCAGGTTCAGCACAAACAATGTGACAAGAACTAACACATTTAAGTTACTAATAATGAAGCAATCAAACTTAACCTATCTCAACTTGTGGATTTACCGTCTTATTACAGTGTCTAGAATTGCTTTGTATTTAATGACTTTGTATTTACAACAGTTTAATTGGGACATCGTGTGGGAAAATTAAATATAGAGATAAGTTTTTACAATAATCGTCTTGAGCAATAAACCACAAGGGAAACCTACCTGTGCTAGTTCTGACATCCTCCATATTTTAATTTGTCTGTTCCTTTGGTCAATGATCAGGAGTCTCTCTTTCCTCCAGCTAACAGACATATGTGGATCTCTCAAAATTTTCTATGTAATAATTTGCTTTACTCAATTTAAATTGGAGTCATAAGATATAACCTTTAAGTGCATGCAGCCTTCCCTTCCTCCAGAAGCACATGTGCAGGACATGGGGAAGGGAAGAGGGCAGGAGGTCAGTCAGCTGCCTTTCACTGCAGTGTGGATCCAAACCTTGCTGGGCAGGAGCAGTGGCATAACCTCCTATAGTCACCTTTCATTTGTGAATTGCCTTTTTGTAGCTGTCTGTCCCCATCCATTTGTAAGTCTGGCTCAACACTGTCTTTAAAGGACTGAGTCAAGATGCAACCTAAAGCCCTGGGTACATCTTGTCGTGACAAAATCATATCCCTTCATGTAGGAAACCTTTAACTTAGTACTTGGACTAAGGCAACCTCAGACTGCCTGTAATCCTGCAGCAAATCTCCGTGATAAGCAGCAGAGTCCCATCTAAAACAGACTGATCATGTAATGGTGTTGCAAGGGCAGGCAGAGTAGCTGTGACAGCATGGGGAGGCACAGTGCACACGGTCTGTCCACACTAAATGTAACCCAAACTAAGGAGCAGTCAATGTCTGAAGCTTTCCCTGACTCACCCTGAGGATCTGCACATGTCCGTACATGCTGGGACAGCATGGTGAGTTTGGGCTTCGGTGATGATGGAGGCCAGGGTTTGAAAGGCAGGGTAGACACAGCAAGGCTTTACCTTCTTGTGCTTTTACCTGTGCTGAGCCTCATGGACTTGTATAGGTCTTTGGAAAAAGTGCTGGGAGTGT